AATATTGTAATCACGATTATTTAAAGAGCAGGTCATATGGGTTTTTTGAAAAATATCTCTTTTGCAGTTTATAACGTAGCTATCCTTAAATGAAAACAATCTGCAAAGTTGTTAATCAAAAAAAGTGCATGATAAATAAAGATATTGTCTCTCAAAAGAGAGAGTCGATTCTGAATCGCCTTAACGAGTCGTCATATTTTCGAATCTATTGCCTGTTACCGGTATACGTCACTGGGTAACACATTTGCATAATCTCTGCCTGCCCGCGAAATACGAACAGAATCTGACCTGCCCACAAACACTTCCGCTAGTTAGTGTGTTTACATCATGTTGAGAAGACGCTGTGTTCAAGGATACCACAGAAATACAATTCCAACCTTTTGTTGTGTGCATGTCATTTTACCAAGGACTGCTTCTCTAATCTGGGCTTTTATCTTCGTTGGCTTCTAATCTTCTTAATTTGGACTAACAAGCTCTCCGAACCACAAATTGTAAGTACGATTGATATGTTACGTGTACATTTTCAATTGAATGCTCAAAATATCAAGTTTTTGTGCCAATATGTGATGTATACCTAGTGCAGCTTTAGGTTTCCAGGTAAGGCACGATATTACTGTCTTACTGAAGTAGTTCTGATAATTCGCTGTGAACCCACTATTTCCTAAGAATGTGTCGATTAATGTAGATTGACGTTGTTCTAATTACTTCATTTAATAATAAAGAATGTAGTATAGCAAACAGACTTTATAATCATTGTGAAATTGCGGTTTATTTTGCTGCACCGCCAGCTATAGTGTTAATGCGGGAGAGACGAGCGAGTTAGGCTGGTGCGCCTGTGATACAGCTGTTCTGCGTTCTGATTAAAAGTTAAGACACAGAGGGTCTTTTGTCTGTCGTTCTTCAAACATTACAGTAGACATATTTTGGTTTACAAACTGTATTGTTTCATCAGTTAGTCACGTTAGCACTCGGCTAATGTATCCACCATTATTGTTTTAAGTGTTCACAGTTTAGCAGCTAAACTTTAGCTGTGGGCACGATTCACTTGTATAAGTGTTTTTGTATTTTATGTCATTATTATAAGAACAGGTAAAATACCATATGACCTGCTCTTTAACATGATTATTAGTGGGTCATATGACCAAAACTTTATATGAAATATTTATTTAAAGATAATGATATATAATCAAATTTATACAACAGTTCGTTCTGCTATTCTATTTCTATTTTAACTACTTGTTTTATTTATAAAGAAAAAAAGAGCCTCTAACACTAGCATTCTCTATTCTTTAATAAGTATCGGTTCAGGCACCGGAACCGTTTTAAAAGTATCGATTTGGCACCGGTATCGAAAAAAACCTAAACGATAACCAACCCTAAATATTATTAAAAGTTTTCTCCTGAACTGCACCTTCACTTCAATTTTCAGTCTCTTTATTTTGCCCCGATATCTCTATGTCTTTCACATGACTTTAATACTCAAACTTTCACAAAATTATTCTTTCTAAATTGCCTACATGTCAAAATGTGTGCATTTATATATAAATAATATATATATATATATATATACACACATTACACAAACATATATTATGTAAACAAATTGTTTTATTTTGGATGAGATTAATCACAATTATTCATTAGACAGCACTAATGTTTTATCTAAATTACATGATTATTTACAAAAATATAAATTATTTATAAAGGTAAACATATATTATATAGTTACATTTAATTAATTACAAATAAATATTTTATGATAAAACAAAGTAGTGACAAAACTCTTTAGCATAGGGAATTTCTCCCAGGTTCATCTCATGAGTGAAAGGCAGTGGGCTACAGTAAGTCCTGCTTGTGTGAATTTGATGGGAAAGGGCCTGATTGCTAAGAGCTTATTCTCTCTGAAGCAGAGATAATAATAACAGCAAGAGACCCTGAATTCCTCACATCATCACAAAAACAGTTTCACATTAACACTGCCATGCGCTTTCAAATTAACACTTGCCTGACATCCATTTAATGACCAACTCTGCTCTCCCCTCGGCTACTATTTACTACGCAGCACAACTACCTCCTGCTAACCGCTAACGAGAACATAAAGAACTCTCCATAAGGCCATTCTCTGTTCTCTTTCTTCTTATGCCCTTTATATTTAGCCAGCATCTGTATGAAAAGATCAAACACATTTTGGACGACATGAGAGAGGACAAATGATAATAAGTCATCTTTAGTTGCCATAAACACATGCTGAGTTTATGAAAATCCAATCATAAACACAATACAGTAACAACTTTTCAGCACTGGACAGGAACAAGGCCCGATTCATAAGGGGCCACGGTGGGTATGGACGACTAGAAAAGCAAATTTAGCCTTGGTGCCTGCGACCAGCAAGTGGGCGAACAACAGCACTCCAGATTATTGTGACACCGACAAAAGCGGTGCGAAAAGAGCACAGCGTGGCCAGGTTTAATAGTTAAGTTCAATACAAGAGCCAGAGATTTAGTAATATAAATCACAACACAAGCACGACCGGGAGTGCAACAGCAGAGCACAAAAGGCAGACTGGATCCTACAAGCCAATTTATCTTCAGAAATAGAAGGAGCCCATTGTCCATATATCAAATGGCCTGTCCCAGCCCCCTGTGTCCCTCATGTTCAGTTCATCCAAAGTTAATGTAGCCTGAGTCTACACCACGCCGTGCTTGAACACTGCGCGCTCTGTTGAAGACCCAAAGCACACTGAAAATTAGCTGGCAGTGGCTTCTATCAAACTCACTTTAGCTTCTCGGAACAATCTAACGGCACCAATATCTGCTGGCAGAGGCGTATCTCGAAATTTTTCACTGGGGTGGCCCATTTGGGGGCGGAGACTCATCCAAGGGTGAAACAACAACAACAACAACAACACTTTAGAAGAGCCAGAGATTTAGTAATATAAATCACAACACAAGCACGACCGGGAGTGCAACAGCAGAGCACAAAAGGCAGACTGGATCCTACAAGCCAATTTATCTTCAGAAATAGAAGGAGCCCATTGTCCATATATCAAATGGCCTGTCCCAGCCCCCTGTGTCCCTCATGTTCAGTTCATCCAAAGTTAATGTAGCCTGAGTCTACACCACGCCGTGCTTGAACACTGCGCGCTCTGTTGAAGACCCAAAGCACACTGAAAATTAGCTGGCAGTGGCTTCTATCAAACTCACTTTAGCTTCTCGGAACAATCTAACGGCACCAATATCTGCTGGCAGAGGCGTATCTCGAAATTTTTCACTGGGGTGGCCCATTTGGGGGCGGAGACTCATCCAAGGGTGAAACAACAACAACAACAACAACACTTTAACTTGAAATGCTTTTTACACCCAACAAATTTATACTAACATAATATAATATAATGTCATGTAATATAAAAACACTTTGTCCTTGGACTTTCCTTCTAATAAAATATGTTAACACAGTTTGCTTTTTGATTAACAGAAAAGGCTGCAATTTTCAACAGCAGAGCACAAAAGGCAGACTGGATCCTACAAGCCAATTTATCTTCAGAAATAGAAGGAGCCCATTGTCCATATATCAAATGGCCTGTCCCAGCCCCCTGTGTCCCTCATGTTCAGTTCATCCAAAGTTAATGTAGCCTGAGTCTACACCACGCCGTGCTTGAACACTGCGCGCTCTGTTGAAGACCCAAAGCACACTGAAAATTAGCTGGCAGTGGCTTCTATCAAACTCACTTTAGCTTCTCGGGACAATCTAACGGCACCAATATCTGCTGGCAGAGGCGTATCTCGAAATTTTTCACTGGGGTGGCCCATTTGGGGCGGAGACTCATCCAAGGGTGAAACAACAACAACAACAACAACAACAACAACAACACTTTAACTTGAAATGCTTTTTACACCCAACAAATTTATACTAACATAATATAATATAATGTCATGTAATATAAAAACACTTTGTCCTTGGACTTTCCTTCTAATAAAATATGTTAACACAGTTTGCTTTTTGATTAACAGAAAAGGCTGCAATTTTTTTTCTTGTCATTACTTATTTATTATAATGTTATTTATTATATTAAGTATTGCTATGCAACTGTAAGTTCTGTTTAATAAAAAACATTAACGAGAAGGGTCATAATATAATATATAATATAATATAATATAATAAACTCACTTTAGCTTCTCGGGACAATCTAACGGCACCAATATCTGCTGGCAGAGGCGTATCTCGAAATTTTTCACTGGGGTGGCCCATTTGGGGCGGAGACTCATCCAAGGGTGAAACAACAACAACAACAACAACACTTTAACTTGAAATGCTTTTTACACCCAACAAATTTATACTAACATAATATAATATAATGTCATGTAATATAAAAACACTTTGTCCTTGGACTTTCCTTCTAATAAAATATGTTAACACAGTTTGCTTTTTGATTAACAGAAAAGGCTGCAATTTTTTTTCTTATGTTATTACTTATTTATTATAATGTTATTTATTATATTAAGTATTGCTATGTAACTGTAAGTTCTGTTTAATAAAAAACATTAATGAGAAGGGTCATAATATAATATATAATATAATATAATATAATTTGTCCAACTTTCTAATGTCAGTGATGACATTGAAGATGTCAATGTCAACTCTTTTTTTTGTAAAATCAGCTGTCAGGGTTTATTATTATTATTTGTTATTATTGTTATGTAATTTTAACTTGAATGTAATTTTCATTAAAATGGAGCAATATAATATAATATAAATAATTAAAAATACATAGTCTAAATAACAATACATTTTCATTATAATCATGATGGATGGCAGGCTATGCTTCATGAATCAGATTAAGATATTTTAGCTAAAAACTAGGAATTTTATCATTGATGTGTAAAATGAAAAAGCTTTCTCTTTTTAAATATCTGCTATTAAAAAGCACTTGAAAAAACAAAGTGGGGTGCGAAGAGAACAAGGTCTTATCTCAGAACTAAAACGCACTGAATGCTACTTACTAGCAGCCTGCACTCTGGCTTTGCGACTCAAGACCAGCCCAAAGAAGTTTTGGGCTATGCACTCATAATCTCCCTCATCAGATGAGCCATCAGACTTGGTCTTCTGGAAGTGACCAATCAGAAGCGAGCCATTAGCAAACATGACATAGTTTTGGTCCTCCACTATCAGAGCTCCGTTGCGCCTCCACTGTGTGGTGATGGGTGGGATCCCCTCCACCTGACAGTGCAGCATCAGAGGTTGTTCCTGAACAGCAATAATGTCACTGGGCTCCAGAGTGAATGACAGCTCGCCCCCACATTCATGTTTCAACCATGTTTTGACCAAATCTTAGATTGTCTGATTCGGTCTGATATCCTACAGTTAGTTCACCCAAAAATGAAAATGATGTCATTAATTACTCACCCTCATGTCATCCCAAACTCGTAAGACCTTTGTTCATCTTCGGAACACAAATTAAGATATTTTTTTATCAAATCTGAGAGCTCTTTGACCCTCTGTAGAAAGCAATGCAACTGCTATGTTCCAGGTCCAGAAACGTAGCAAGGACATCAGTAAAATAGTCCATGTGACATCAGGAGTTCAACCGTAATTTTACGAAGCTACGAGAATACTTTTTGTGTGCAAAGAAAACAATAATAGCATAATAATTTATTCAGCAATTCTTCTCCCCGAGTTACCGTCTTCTTGTATTTTGGAGAGCCCTCCAGAACGTAATTAACGTAATCAGCGCTGTTTACATTCAGTAGACAGCGTGCGCATGCGAACCGAAAATAGCGCTGATTACATTGATTATGTTCTGGGGTACTCTCCAAATTGGAATTGTTGAATAAATTATGGTATTATAGTTTTCTTTGGCCTCTGTGGAATTCGTCTCATGTTTCAACCATGTTTTGACCAAATTTTAGATTGTCTGATTCGGTCTGATATCCTACATTTAGTTCACCCAAAAATGAAAAAAAAAAATTTAATAAATTATGTTATTATGACATCAGGAGTTCAACCGTAATTTTACGAAGCTACGAGAATACTTTTTGTGTGCAAAGAAAACAATAATAGCATAATAATTTATTCAGCAATTCTTCTCCCCGAGTTACCGTCTTCTTGTATTTTGGAGAGCCCTCCAGAACGTAATTAACGTAATCAGCGCTGTTTACATTCAGTAGACAGCGTGCGCATGCGAACCGAAAATAGCGCTGATTACATTGATTATGTTCTGGGGTACTCTCCAAATTGGAATTGTTGAATAAATTATGGTATTATAGTTTTCTTTGCACACAAAAAGTATTCTCGTAGCTTCGTAAAATTACGGTTGAACCACTGATGTCACATGGACAATTTTACTGATGTCTTTGCTACGTTTCTGGACCTGGGAATATTGCAGTTGCATTGCTGTCTATGCAGGGTCAAAGAGCTCTCAGATTTGATCAAAAATATCAATTACTCACCCTCATGTCATCCCAAACTCGTAAGACCTTTGTTCATCTTCGGAACACAAATTAAGATATTTTTTTATCAAATCTGAGAGCTCTTTGACCCTCTGTAGAAAGCAATGCAACTGCTATGTTCCAGGTCCAGAAACGTAGCAAGGACATCAGTAAAATAGTCCATGTGACATCAGGAGTTCAACCGTAATTTTACGAAGCTACGAGAATACTTTTTGTGTGCAAAGAAAACAATAATAGCATAATAATTTATTCAGCAATTCTTCTCCCCGAGTTACCGTCTTCTTGTATTTTGGAGAGCCCTCCAGAACGTAATTAACGTAATCAGCGCTGTTTACATTCAGTAGACAGCGTGCGCATGCGAACCGAAAATAGCGCTGATTACATTGATTATGTTCTGGGGTACTCTCCAAATTGGAATTGTTGAATAAATTATGGTATTATAGTTTTCTTTGCACACAAAAAGTATTCTCGTAGCTTCGTAAAATTACGGTTGAACCACTGATGTCACATGGACAATTTTACTGATGTCTTTGCTACGTTTCTGGACCTGGGAATATTGCAGTTGCATTGCTGTCTATGCAGGGTCAAAGAGCTCTCAGATTTGATCAAAAATATCTTAATTTGTGTTCTGAAGATGAACGAAGGTCTTACGAGTTTGGAATGACATGAGGGTGAGTAATTAATAGGGGTGGAACGGTTTGCAGAAAAAAAATTTAACCGTACTGTTCTCCACACATGATTCGGCATGCACTAGGACCGCGATTCAACTTAAATCTGACAACGCATCTGTAATATGGTTTGCTATAAAAACACGTAAAACAAATAGGGTTCGGCTAATATACGTTTCTGTTGATGGATGCGCATTCTGGCTTCCCAATACATTACAACAACAGCGATGAAAAAAAAAAACCGTGGACAAACCATTCACTCTTGTTCAATGCGAATGCCGTATGCTGGAATGAGCATTTATTCCGTCATCACCTGGGTGCTGATAGCGCGCGCGCACAGGTGAGACCTAAATTTGTTTAAGCTTTGCCAGTTTAAACATTTAAGAGGATGTGAGCTCGCATGCGCAGTGAGAAGGTCTGTGCGTGCGCTCATCCAAAGCGCGCAAACCAGCGTCTCAGAACGCGTGCAAATATTAAGCTGTAAATTGACATTCCCAGAATTCCCTGCATTACATTTCAAATGTAATGTTTATTTTGTTGAAATATCTAGGTTTCTTCTTAGTTTTTTCTTATCAGTTTTGTATATTAGGGTTGTGTGTTACACCTAATGTTGTTAAATGAATGTTTATTGCATTATTTCAGTTTCATGTGTGTTACCATGATGGTGTTTAGTGTTTGTGTGAATGACACTGTCCACCTTCTATATATGTTATTATTTAAAAGCTGCTTGTGATGGGCTTTGGTTCATCATGTGACTTTCTCATCACCACCTGCATTGGGTGGTTATCAGTGTATTACAAAGGTACAAAACAGATTTCAGCACTTCAATGAGGTTGGTATATTAACATCATATCAGTTAATGAAATTACAGTATTTAACTGTAAATTTATGTTAAAACCGTAAAACCTAAACCGTTGCTACCGTATTTTTACGGTAAAATCCCGGCAACCACAGCTGCCGTTTTTTTTACTGTAAATTTTATGGATTTTTTTTTCACAGTGTAGTTAGCAAGTTTTGCGACTAAAGTAAACAGTGCTGCTGTCACCCACACTACCATTGAGACATTTTAACCAAAGTATGTTATAGACTTGTCATTAAGACCCTAAAGAATCATATCAACTTATATCAAATGGGCATCCGATTACTCCTTTAATATTAATCAAACAGCAACAACAAAGAAATCACTCACTGCTCTTGATTGAATAGCTTTTGTAACTTTAATAAAGATTAATCTTTCATTTATACAGTCAAATATGCAATGCTGTTTTACATTTCATTACTTTATTTAATTTCTGTACCTAAAAACTGTTAGACATACCTAAAAAAAACTGAAAATCACTGTTTATTTTATTTGTATATTTACTCTATTGTATTTATTTGTGCTGTTGCTTGTAGTTAGATAGATTATTCTTATTTTCTTTATTTTTATTTGACAGTATAGTTTTTGCCTAAACATACCAGTGTGTGTACACATCCACCCTATAATGCTAAAAATCCACCCAGTGTTTTTTTTTAAATCCCTATTTTAAAATACCCTTTCTCAAATCAGGCTGTTCTGAGATTCCTGGCAGAATGACGTAGTTCTGCACAGGCCCCTCCCACGATAGTTGATTGACAAGGCCATCTTACATTAGACCTGCCCTGAGTGAGCTGTCATCAGTCCACCATTGTGTCAACTCGGGTGCAGGGAAGACAAGAATGTCTGCGATTAAGCGATTGAGCTGTTTTGTTGTTTGATGTAATAATGAACATAGCAGTCGCCATTTACTCCCGACATCTGAGCCGCTGAAGACGCAGAGGATTAACGTTACTTTCGTTGTTTTACATTTCATTACTTTATTTAATTTCTGTACCTAAAAACTGTTAGACATACCTAAAAAAAACTGAAAATCACTGTTTATTTTATTTGTATATTTACTCTATTGTATTTATTTGTGCTGTTGCTTGTAGTTAGATAGATTATTCTTATTTTCTTTATTTTTATTTGACAGTATAGTTTTTGCCTAAACATACCACATACCGAACCATACTGAAACCGTGACTCTAAAACCACGATACAAACCGAACCGTGAGTAAGTTGAACCGTTCCACCCCTAGTAATTAATGACAGAATTAATGACAACATTTTTGGGTGAACTAACCCTTTAACAAAAATACCTCACACGTCACACATGGGGCCAGCGCAAACCATCTTTTGGCGTTAAAATAGTACTGTCAGGATTTGCTACAGATGCGTAGTGAAGAATTAGTGCTGAAAAGGCATGGACAGTTATTTTTGCACCTGACATTACTGAATATGCATTTGTAGGAGTTTCCCTTTCAGATGCAAAATTTATGGGAGGATTCAAATGAATCACGCAACGTCATTTACTAATGTTTGCGCACATTAAACTACTGGCATTTGTGCCATTATTTGACGCCCAAAAAAATCATGTCTTAAAGCAGGCAGTAATTTGCACTACTCTTGGTAGACTGCGCAGGTCAGAATTTTCCTCTCCGATCTGCACTTTTATGGAATATCTACGTCACTATGTGGGAAGATTTGCATAACACCGCCCAAATGTTCACGTGAAGAAATTAGGCGTAACTTTTATTCTCGCTGTAGTATTGTTGTTGCCGCTGCCATGTCGTGAAGGCGCTGTGTGTTTCGTTGTGAACGTGAAACTACTTTGTTTGGCCTTCCAAAAGAGGATGATATCTGCTTCTTCATGCCTGGACCTGATCCGTGCTGGTTGCTGAGGAAATACAACAACTTTGCGCTGTGGATCACCGGATCGGCTTTCAACGTGGACGAAGCGGAGTCCAGCCCGGGGTCGTCACATGTGGTTGCCGCAAGCCCTCCGGACACTCCTTCATCGAATCCGCCGGCTGCGCCGATCTCAAGCCCGCCGCCTCTGCTCAACTTTAGCCCTCCGGCCGTTCCTCACTCTAGCCCCCGGCCTCTGCTCACTATAGGCCACCGTGGGTGACGCTGTGTTTCGTTGTGAAACTACTTTGTTTGGCCTCCAAAAATGGACACGACTAGAAATCAGTGGTTAAGTTGTATTTACAACACATTTCAGAACACTTCAACCCAAATATTCAGATGTGTGCAGCACATTTTATGGAGGACTGTTTCCTGATCCTGGTAGAGTAGACTACAATGCCGGCTGTTCTGACTCCGAGACTGTAAGTACGTTTTTTATATTT